CTGTTGTTCAGTGACGTTGTTCGCTAAAAATACTTCCTTCCTTCTGTTCAGTCCGAATTCCTCATCGATGATGCCAGACGTAGACACTTTGCATGAGATGACGAGTCGATATTTGGTACCATTTTCGTGACTTGATATATCATAACTGACAGATTAGCGGTTACCTGCGATAGGAAAGGGTCACTCTTTGTGCTACAACCAGAATAAAATTGAATTTTCTGAATACGAATTCCTAGCTCACCTGACATATATCTGCCTCAGATCTTATACGTACGTTTACATAAAATTAGACAAAAATAAACGCGATCAAATCGAGCGTTAATATTTTTCGAGATAAAACGATAAATTATATCAAATTTATGACAAAATATGACTTTATTAAAAAACAGTATAAAAATTACCTGTCCCCGATGAAGATACACGTCTGAATTATCTGGATCTGCTTCTTCAGCTCTTGAGAAATCTGTCATAGCCAAATCCTTTTCCACCTGTTGCATGTACAATGATGCTCGCTTGACATACGCATTGCTTTTCATCTGAAATGTGCATTTCAAACAACTAAGCGTAAACGAGAAAATGTCAGGCTTCAGATGAACGTTGGAAACGATGACGGACCAGGACATCTCCCGCAAATGATGCCTCATAAAATTCTAAAAAAGGCCTATTATGCAGTCCCTTAATACGGGACATTAGACAGTGGCTATGGAGTTTTTCTAGTGATCTATAAGATCAGAACATCGGCCGCAAATCGTAATTGGTTCATTTACTACCTATTTGTATCTAGTTTGTGTTTTTTCCTACATAGTACCTTGAAAACCTCTATTGAGCTGCTATGAATAACTTCGGTGCAATTTCATAATCCTGCTGAAAGCCCACGTCGATTATGAATTTGCTTGTCCTTTGGGAAGTTTTCAGTTGCGGTCTTGTAACTGTATCGGGGAGGTTTCTATATCTTTTCATACTCCTTAGTACAGAAGTTAAATAATGGACTTCAAATAGAGCAGAAGAACTGAGGAAGCCTGTTTGCCGATAGTACAGTTGAAGAAGTATTGTGACTAGAGAAAATATAATCCACGCAGATGACCACTATCCAGATTCAAAGCAGCGACTTCCATTTAATTTGGAACCGACGTTTTTGTTAGTTTGTTTTATAACATACATGGAATCGAACAATTTTAAAAGTAGATAGACGCCGTCTACTATAGCAGTAAACTTGATTTACATCATGTCGACACTGAGCACAGACAGCAGCC